AAATCTTGCGCCTTTTTTACAGGTAAGAAGCGATGTCCTCTTTTTTGTCGTTTAGATATGTGCGGTTGCTTTATGACATAGTTTTTTGAGTCATTAAAAAAAAGTTTAGGACCAGGTTTGGCTTTTTTGGCGTATCCGGAAGTGGCCAGCAATCTTCCGTTAAAGCAAGTTTGGGCTGTGCTGTTCTTCATGATGATCACAATTCTTGGTCTCGATAGTCAGGTCAGGAAGTTAATTCATTCAGTTTTCAACAAAGCAATCCAGGTCTATAGCTTAAAGGCTTGGAAAAAATATGTTTGTGCTAACTTGCCTGCTTCATTAGCTATAAATAATTGTCGCGTGTCAGCAAAGATGTTATCCAGGAAAAAACGAAACAGTCACTTGGACAGCAGCCAATTATGCGCTTATCTAGTGGACATAAGGGAGTGCAAGCTAAAAGTATGCAAAAATACGGCCTGGCATAACTGCGTCGACCAGTGAGCTCTTCGTAGTACAATCAATTTGTCACATACGGCGAGTCTGGCCATTTATCAGTCTTAACCGGATAATTGGAAAACACAGTTTAACATGCTTTTTTCGATGGATGATTGACAGAATCACTTAAATTGATGAAATTTTTAGGTTTGCATGCTTGAAGGCTTATACACTGCGCTTGAAGACGTGTTTCCTCGTTTCTTACGAAAATACAAGAAAATATCACTTAGTATCACTTGCTTATTTTTCTTCCTCCTTGGCATTCCAATGGTCACTCAAGTATGTTCCGAACTGCTTTGTGGCTTCTTTTTTACCATCGCTGTAACTGGTCGAGGATGAGAAAGAACTTGTATGAGTTTAGGTGCATCCCAACAATCAGCGGAACTGATTTCACTAGTGTTTATTCGTGCACCTGCGGGCTGAGCTAATCAGACTGCGTATAATCTTTACTGCTAAGCAGTTAATTTAGGCTGGCTCGTACTGGTTGACACTCTTCGATGCTTATGGTGCCAGTGGCATTGCGTTATTATTTGTTGTGTTTTTCGAAATTGTTGGCCTTTCATGGGGATTTGGTTAGTTTAATTCTATAATTTCATGAGATTAGTTTCATTATACAAGGACAGTTGCTACCATTCAGAAATGACGATGGTTTTCAGCAAATATTCTCAGGCACTGTGTAAACAATGAGCTCCACCCATACAAGGCTCATTTCGTTTTAAGTTCAGCTGCCTCCTACTTTTTATGCGTTTTTGCTGTTCAGCGCTATAGCGCAGCCACAGCGAGCTAAAACGCATATTGCAACGATCCTTGGTGTGCGTGTGTGTATGTTTGTGTGTATGTGTGCGCGCGTGTGTGTGTCTGTCTGTCCGGGTTTTACAACTCGGCAAACTCGCAAGCTCCGGAGCTAAAATTTCGCCTGCGGGTTCCCTGGCCAAATGCCACCCAGGGGCCGCGGTACTGACTCTCACGCACTCTGGCCCTGCGTACGACCACGTGAAAGTTTTAGCGGGAAAATGGCTAACTTGGGAACCAGAAAAGTTGGGAGGCAAAAATTTTAAGGGGATGTTTTTCGTC